GGTGGAAGAGCTGATGGGATTAGGGACTTCAAATTTCACAGTGCTTGTATTATGACAAAAAAAAAAAACCCAAGCCAACAAAAGCTTACAACCAAGGGGTCCTGCAATCTGGATCCAAAAATAAGCTGATGGAAGCTGATGACTGTGGGATCAACCATTCCCCATTTCTCATCATTCCAGGAAGAATAAAGCTCCCAAGCAGGGTGACCACACTGGCTGAACAACCACCATCACTCACTCAGAGTCACAATTAGAACCTTTTTAACTTGCAGAAAGTCCTGAAAATCATTCAAGAAAAACTCCCATCTGGAGGATATATTCAGGAGCACACTGACAGTTATTGCTGTCTTGTAAACACATCCAGAAATGTATTATTTTAATCTTAGCACAATTACTAAATGAGAGCAATCACAGCTACGAGGCAACAGAACCTCCTGAAACACAAAAATAACGATGACATATCTCTCTATATTAGTCCAATGACATAATTGGAGAAAATCAGATCCTGGGGGGATATTCAATCCACTCAAGTACATCTGTACGTGGTTAGAGAGCACAGTTGTGGACTTCAGACCCACAGAGACAATGATTCCTTTCCTTCTGACCCTCCCAGCCCTGGCAGGTGCCCCAGCTGCTGGTGCAGGGTGTGAGGAGCACAGGGAGCCATCCTCCTGGGCAGCAGAGCCAGCCAGGGGCTGGGCAGGAGAGGGGCCTGAGAGGGGCCTGCCCTGCCCACCACAGCGAGCACAATGATGGGCAGCTTTGCCACCAAAGGATCTCATTTTCCAGTGTCCCATCCTCAGCATTCAGGAAGTTTCATGGAAGGAGCAGAGTGTTTGTATCCGTGTATGGTGCTGCTAAAGAGCCAGAGGGGCAGAAAATAGCTCGTGATCTCACAGTCCTTCACAATTCCAGTGGGAGAAGAAAGGGAGAAGACAGTGGCAAGAGAAAAATCACCATATCCAAGGCTCCTGAACACAACCCCTGGGAATTCCTGGAACACATGGAATTCCTCCTGCCCCCTGATCTCTGTGCCCCACACCAGTACACCCAAATCCAACATTCCCAGCCTCCTAGCACATCCTTCCTGTGCAAGTGCTGTTCAAATAACTACTCCCAAAACCTTCCTTAAAATTCAGGATGTGCTTTTTACCTCAGGTACCTTTCTGGGAGGTTCTCCTGCAAGTGAAAAGGAAAAGAGGGATGAAGCATCTCTTGAAGGGCAACTGCTTCAGTGGCTGAGGATCTGGGAGGTGAACTTCTATCCACCTACCTCAGCCACCTTCTAACATTCACTTAATCACAAATACAACTTAATATTCAGTTAATCACAACTTACATGACAAAGGTTAAAAAAAATGGTAATAATAGTGTTGAAAAGTATTGGTTTTCCTAACAATAAATTGACTTCTAGGGGCAGAAAAAGCAAACCAGTGTTTTTAAGAGCTCTACATTTCACATTGATTTTGCTACAGATGGTTTTTCCCCTTCACTTTGCTTGTACCATTGAAGTGTTGACTCTGGAAATCTGCACCTGTGTAAGGCTTTAAAAAAAAAATTACACTGCAAGAGAGACTAATAATAAACAATCAAACTATTAGTGCCACTGTGAGGTGGCATTCCCAGGGTGTGTGAGAGCATGTCCCAGCCCCTGCCACGCTGCTGCTCCTGAAGGTGCCTGGGAAAGAAAGGCAACAAAAAGAAGTAACCCCAAGAAATTAAAACATGTGCCTTTGTGAAACCAGGTTGATCTCAAATGCATCTCCAGAGTGTGTCCTGCCAGGAACAGCCTGCCCAGGGAAGGAGCACACGAGTTGTCACCACAGCAGTGCCAGCCCGGGGTCCTGGGGGTGCCACACACAGGGACAGGACACGAGGACACGGCCCCAGGCAGTGCCAGCAATCCCCCAGCAGTGCCCTGCCCTGCAAACCAGCTCCACCCAGGCAGGGCACAGGGACCAGGAGGCTGCAGGATGAGTGAATCCCTGGGCAGGACACATCCCCACACCCCCACACCCCCCATCCTGCCACTGCCCTGCTGGAATTCCTCCCCTGCTCTGGGTTATTGATCCCCTGAGCTCCTGCCCTGGCACAGCAACCCCTTATTGATCCCCTGAGCTCCTGCCCTGGCACAACAACCCCTGCTCAGCTCAGGAGCCGCCTGGTATCGACTCTGCCTCCAGCCCTGACTCCTGTAATTGCTTCAACAGCTCTGCGAGCTCCCTTGGCCTCTGATAAGATCCCCACACATCCAGGGAGAATTTAAAAGAGTTTTGTTGTCAAAAACAATTACACCAGGAGTGCAAAAGCTGCATTTTATCCCTGCAGTGCCTCTCAAACATCTGAGTGATCCAAGGCAGGGGCTGGGCAGGAGGAGGAGCTGGGACACCCTGTCCTGTCCTCAGCCCAAACCCCCCTGAGCCTTCAGCTGGGGATGGTTCTGAGCATTGGGAGCTCAAAGTTGGACAGGATGTGACCCCTCTGCTTCATAGGGACTCCTCTATGCAGTTCATGGAACGGCTTGGGCTGGAAGGGACCTAAAAATCATCCAGTGCCACCCCCTGCCATGGGCAGGGACACCTTCCACCAGCCCAAGTCACTCCAAGCCCTGTCCAACCTGGCCTTGGACACTTCCAGGGATGGGGCAGCCACAGCTTCTCTGGGCAACCTGTGCCAGGGCCTCCCCACCCTCACAGGGAAGGATTCCTTCCCAATATCCCATCTCAATCTCCCCTCCTTCTGCTTAAAGCCTGTTAGTGCCTTTCTACAGATTCCACACTAAAGGAAGGATCTTTATGAGCAAAGCCATGGCACAGTTCCAGTCCCCAGTACTGTGTCCTGATCCTCAAAGGTCATATATCCCATATTTTGGGATATATACAATGCATAGGAAAACACAAACCCCCCACCCCGACACACAACCCCCCCAGTCCTGGACAATCCCTGGCAGCAGAGCCGAGGAAACTCCAAAGGGCGGTGAAACATGGGAGGGACAACCACACTCCACACCCCAGGAATCCACTTGCTGCATTACCAAACTAAGCCTATAAACCACAACTGACCTATAAATCATAACCAGCCATGTGTTCTCTCAGTTTTTTGATACTGGACAAAGAAACTGGTTAAAAAGGTCTGGAATCACCTTTTTCCCCACGCCATCTTCCATACACCTCATGTTTTATCTCCCTCCTGTAGCACAGACTGGTATCTGGCCTTCCTCACACCTTCCTGCCTCCCTCCACCTGCTGCAAATGCTACTGCTCAATTTATTTGCCTTCTATGAATTACCTGCAGCACATTTCGAGTTCTTTTTTTGTTGTTGGAGGTGTTATTCTCTATCCTGAACAAGGCAGGTGTTTTCAATATGCTTTCTACCAAACAACATTATGCTTGTATTTATTGATAAAATAAAATAAATCCACACAACGAAAACCACAGTGTTATGTATAACACCATTCCTCAGTTTAAAAGATTGTGCTGCATGAGATTTTCAGCAGGTGCAATTTCCATTTCAGCCCAGGCCTCTGTGGCTAAGCTACAGCACAATATTTTCCAGGAAATATCTGACAGGAAATCACTAACAATCACCGAAAACTACAACTCCCACTCAAAAAAGGGAGATGGAAAAGAAAGCAAAGCACAAAAGCTATTGCAGCTCCATCTCTTGCAGGGCAGGAGGGGAAGCCCCAGGAGCACAGGCATGGGGGTTTGGCACCGTGTGCTGGGCCAGGAGCTGAGGGTTCCAGTGCCATGGGAGCTGGACAGACACAGGGACTGCACCTGAGGACATCCCAGTGCCCCCTGCCCAGGGAGGATCACTCCTGTTTGCCAGACAAGACAGGGCAGCTCCCAGCCCAAGGAGCTGGGCACAGCCCTGGCAGCACAGGCAGCCTGGGGACACTGGGAGCTGTCCCTTGTCCCCAGTGTCCCCCCAGCTCTGGGCAGGGGCACCCCGGGCTGGGGCACAGCCTTTGCCCTGGACCCTCCTCTGTGCTCTAGAGCAAATCAGGTTCATCATCATCTCCTCTCTGTACTATGGCAATTTGGGCACGAATCTGCTGCTTTCCCAGTCCAGGGTAATTCAGCTCTGCAAGCACAGGGAAACCTGAAGCTTTTGCTCCCAATGGCTTCGGATGCCGGCAGCAGCCTTGGGAATTCTTTGTGTTATCAGCCTGTTACATCTTTGCAGACAACAGTTTAAAGCCCTTCATGTGGGTCACCTGCAGGCCCCACTGCCAGGCAGGGAGCCCAAAAGCTGCTCCACACTCCCTGTGTCAGACCCAGGTCACAAACAGACCCCACTGTGGTTAAAGCTGTTTCTGCTGCTTCTTATCTCTCCCTTGGCAGGGAGAGCAGAGCTATTTGAAGTGTTTGTAAGCCTTGGCAGACCTCCTTTCCAGCTGAAATTAATTCCCTTTGGGGATGCAATGGCGGCATGGGAAGCCCATTGCAGAGGTGAGACGACACACAGAAACCTGCACAGGGAAGTGTGGGTTCAGGGACTGGGGATCACAGACAGCATGCTATGACATCCATGCCCAGTCTGTGCTGTAAATGTGCCCTGGGGCTGCTGTTTGTGACACAGAGCACTCAGCAGGCTGTGCACTCCCTCAATGCCCAACTCCAGAGGCACAGGAGTCTTCTGAGTATTTTTTGAGAGTTTTCTTGCTTATATCTGGTATTCAAAATGATTGAGTTAGGAGATGCCTCTTTCTGGATAATAATGACAGCTAATTCCCGCTTATCTTACTGAAAGGATACAATTGAAATGGATGCAACAATAAAACTAATGGCTAATGTGATTGTTATTGATCATTTGCCAGATTATAAATGAATGGCCCACGAGCTAAATGGGGAAGGAAAACAGTGCCATATATTGCCTGTGTCTCGGGAATGAGCTGGCTGGAGAGCTCATCCGGAAATCCACGTAAAGCTGAACATCAGCACGTCCTTAGAACCACAGTGAGTCCTGAATATCAGGTCTGTTCACTCTCACCTACCTTTTCAGCTGACTGGGCAGTGCCAAAAAATATTGGAATGAAGGCAAGCCATACTATACAGGTAGTGTACATAGTGAATCCAATGGGTTTGGCTTCGTTAAAATTCTCTGGGACACCCCGAGTCTTGATGGCATACACAGTGCACGTCACCATTAGCAGAATGCTATAACCCAAGGAACAAATGATTTGTAGATCCGTAATGTCACATTTGAGAACTCCTCTGGCCTGATCGGGGTTCATAGTTTTCTGCTCATCATAATCTATGATGATGTTGGGCGGGTCAACCGCAAACCAAATAAAGACCCCCAGGAGCTGCACCGATATGAGGCTGGAGGTGATGGCCAGCTGGGACGTGGGGCTGATCAGCCTGGGCGCCGTCACCGACTTCTTGCCCTGCTCGAAGATGCGGTAGATGCGGTTGGTCTTGGTCAGCAGGGCCGCGTAGCTGATGCACATGCCCAGCCCCAGGAAGATCCTGCGGAAGGAGCACACGGCCACGTCGGGCTTGGCGATCATCAGGAAGGTGATGATGTAGCACAGGAAGATGCCGGTCAGCAGGACGTAGCTGAGCTCGCGGCCCGAGGCGCGCACGATGGGCGTGTCGTTGTACCTGATGAACGTGGCCATGACGAAGATGGTGGCGATGATCCCCAGCATGGCCAGGAAGACGGGGATGACGGCCCAGGGCGAGTGCCACTCCAGCTTGATGATGGGGATGGAGCGGCAGCCCGTGCGGTTCTCGTTGGGCCGCTCGTTGTAGGAGCAGAGCAGGCAGGTCACCTCGTCCGCCTGGTACTGGTACCCGTCGCACAGCTCGCAGTGCCAGCAGCAGGGCATCCCCTTCACCATCTTCTTCCTCTCGCCGGGCTTGCAGGGCAGGCTGCACACCGAGGGCGGCACCTCCCGCACGCCCCCGCCCCACTGCATCTCCTCCACCTGCGGCACAGGGAACAGAAACACACCCTCAGTCAGGTGGCACTGCCACAAACCCCGGGGGGAACCACAGCGGGGAGGACTAAGGGGGAACCTCGATGGGAAAAACCCCACTGGATAAACTCTTTAGGCTGCGGACGCCTGGAAACGCTGCAGGAACTGCACACACGGGTGTCTTTGCAAGGGACTCTGATGCACAACAGTGTTTGCTGCCTCCATTTTTCATTTTTGTTAGTGGTTAATTCTGGTGGAATGACACACAACATCACATAAAACTGTGGATTGAAAACCTCTTGTTTGTGACAACTAATAAGAACACTGCAGTGCTCGAGGGAAGGCAGGACTCACATTCACAAATGCTTTCCACGAAACCTGGCACTTCTTACCGAGGCCAAAACAGAGATCTCCTTCCTGGAACTGTGGCTGACCAGGTGAATATTTTAAATAAGGTGGAAATGTGTTTTATACAGGGCATGGGATCAGTGAGAACATGGCAAGGTCTGCAGTATGAACCAGGTAAGAAATATGAAGGACAGAGAAAATGGTCACCAATGAAAACTGCAATAATTAGATAATATTTCATTTCAAAGTCACATTCAGCTTTTGAAATACCACACATGCTTCTGGGAATGCAAATGATAAATGATTATATTAAATGTAGGGAAAGTCTCACTTATTCTGCAGTCTGGAGAACCCTGAACTCCAAAGTATGTGACAAAGGTTCCCAAGTACTGTGGAAAATTAGACTCACAAATAATTTCAAATTATGTCAGACTAAAGTCACTCACCAGGCTCCAGGAACAAGGGGGGCTCAGCATTGGAGCCCCCATGAAACAGTCCAGACTGGAACTACTGGGAGGGTCCTGGCATTGCCAGCATCAGCTACCAACTCAGCTGCCCAGCAGCATTCCAGTGGCTCTACCAGCTGCTCTGTGTGTGTGTGTCTTTTCCAAACATAAAACCTGATCCCCTGGGACAGATGTGAATAAGTGCTATTAAAAACAAAATTTCAGCTATTTCTCTTTAGGTCACTTAAATGCTGACAAGCTCCACTATTTTCCCTACAAGTAAAGAATTCTAGAATGTGTTTCTTGAATCAGCTGCCTTGATTATCCATGTCCACAGGAAGACTGGGGTTTGCAAGGCTTAAATTGAAGGATTAAGTTGCACTTTCCTAATTTAATTCAAAACAGATCCTATATCATCCTAATTTCATACATGTGAAAAACCCAAACCCTGCAGTCCCACACTGCTCAAACCCTGGAGAGCCAAGAGCCTGTCTGTGAAGGCTGTAAAATAGTCCCTCCATAACGGATATTCCAGAGCTCTGCCACTGCCTGGGAAACTTCATTAACCTTCAATACCCTGGAAAAGAGAAAGATCCATGAACCCTCCTTTCATGCTGTGCTGAAGGTGTGCAGCTCGCAGAAGGCAAAGGAATGCTGATGATAAAGGGAAATGACTCATTTAATTGCACTGGTAAATTGTACTTTGGTCTTTCTGGAAGTGGAAGGAGCCAGGAAATCCATTTCCATGCCTGACTCCATCACTGCTCCAACACAATGGGAACAGCCCCTACAGAGCTGGAGCTGAGTTCCTGGGCTGTGGGAATGCCCCGTAGGAGAGCTGGGGAACTGGCACGTGCCCACATCCCTGACTCCCTGCAGAGGCACAGGTGGGGCCAGTGCAGAGACCCAAAGAGATGGTGAGGAAAGAGAACCAGGGCTGGGATCTCTGACCCCTAAAGCAGGTGGGAAAAGTTCATGGCAATTCCTTAAGAAACCACCTGACTGACCCTCTGCTGCTCCCTCTTCTCGATCCCTGATCTGTGTTTTGCCCTTTTCCAAGGTGGACTGAGACAGGGGAACTACAACTTACCTGGGTGTTTATACCTAGGGAGTGAGTCACTGACCCAGTCCAGAGCCTCCATTTTCTGTCATAACTATTACCCACAGAGGTTGTTTCATGCCCTTTCTGCAGCAGACATCGATACAAAATGAGAACATCATCCCAACTGCTCAGATTTTGACCCAGTCTGCAGCAAGGAAATGATTTTCACAATTTTCCACATGCTAATATCTTCAGAACCACAGACTGATTAATGTGTTATCACATCCCTGCTTCCACTTATGGCTACAAAAGGATGAATTTCCATATTCTCAGACATATTCCACGGCATTGCTGGGACCTGGGACAGCCTAAAGGTGCTTTATTCTGCACGGATACCGTGTGTAGAGAGATAAATACAAGATGGGGTAAAAGTGTGGAAAGTCCTTTTTCTGGCCTCCTGGAGAGACACCACGAGAACTCGTCACTGGCCTCAGAATGATTTGCAGAGTTCTGGTGTTTCTGGTGAGAAAAGTAATGATGCAAAGTGCCTGTGAGGGAATGTGCTGGGCACCAGCACCTGCACAGGAGGTAAGAACCTCAGTCAAACCAGAGGCACTTTCCCCACTCAGAAAAGCATAATTTTGAAAGAAAATTTGTCCTTAAGTGCCACATCTACACATCATTTTAATACCTCCAAGGATGCTCTGAAAATGCTAATCACAGTCTATAAAGCAGGAAGCAAACAATTTCATAAAGCATGAGAAAGTACTCTTGCAATTAATAAAAATTGGGTTTTCTATGTAGAACCTTCCATTTCAGTCCTATGTCAAACTGGCACACAGAGGATAAGGGAATTTATTTTTCCCAAGCCAACAGCACTTCCAGAGGCAGCCAGACACCTTGTACTCACAGCGAGCCCACAATTCCACATCTTGAGCTTAGCACTGGACCCAGACAGTGCTGGGGGACACAAGGAGCTCCTCTCCATGGCAATTCTGCTGAATTTGGGAAGGATGCAAAACCTAAACTGCACCAGATGCTGTAGAGGTGTGTCTAATGTCTTGGAAAATCACATATTTGCCCATCACCTGCTCATTGACATGTCAAGTGGCACATCTTCAACAGCATCATGAGCAGGCCATGACAGTTCATGCACTGCTGGATTGATCTGATAAATGGGAAAAAACCCTCTAAACCACAACAGGTTTGTTGTAGGACATTCAATAGAGCTGATGACAACAGAATGTGGAAGCTGGCCGTGCTCCAGGGGCCCAGCAGTGGGGCACCGTGGTCAGCCCTGCCAGCACAGTGTGCAGGAGAAAACCCCAAACCAGAACCAGGAAAGCAGCAAACAAACAAGTGAAAAACCCAAAAGAAAAGCAAAAACTCCCTCCCCCACCATGGGGCAATGCAGCAGCACCTCTCCTTCTTCCCCAAGCTCTCCCAACTCCTAGGAATGGCCCAGTTCCTAAACGCCTCGAGCCAGAGGGATGGGATCCATTTCCGATATAAATTCTCATTATGTTCACTACAGAACAAACATTAACCAGAAATGCTTAGTCTGTCTCATAAGGCCTAATGTAATTGTTCATTTTAATGAATAAAGTAACTCAATAGAAGTGCATAATTCAAACGTCGCTGCTGTTCTTCCCAGCGCCACAAACATTCCCTAATAAGCCATTTGTTCTGAACTTAATTGTTTCATGCAACGTTTGATTAAAACAAAAAGCAGTACAAAAATAATTACATTAGTGATAATTAACCTACTTGGGGAAGAAAATAGCCACGTTCCCTGATATGACTTTCATACCGACGGTGCCATTAATCTCACGGACACATCAGGACACAGGGCAAAGGATTTGGCTCGGATTTATTGCCACCCTCCAGACTCCAGCTCCTAACTCAGCAGTTCAAACATTTGTGTACATTCCCCTTCGCAGGCAGCAATATTTGCATGACTTAGCTCTTAGGCTCAGCTATTAATGTCTTGTAATTAGTTTTTAAATCCAGGGGTTTACCATGATAATGGTTTTAAGCTAAGAATATGTCAATAACACATCGTCAGCAGAGCCTTCTGCAAAATATCAACTACAATCCCTTCAGGAGATAATGGGGATGATAAACCAGAGAGGATGCAAAGCTGCTCCAGTGGCTGCCCCAGGCTCAGGGAATGAGGTGTTTGCCCTCATCCTGTGACTCACTTCATTTCCCTGTCTGCAGGACTGACAGGAGAGCCCTGAGACAGCACAGAGCCTGCAGGGTGGTGGAGGCAAAAAATCCCCACTTTTGGCTAAACCTGATCCACAGCTGCTGCCAGAGCACCTCTGCTGGGACAGGGATGCTGTGGCATATCCTGGGCACCCTATTCCTCACAGAGCATCCCAGTCCATCCCTGTGCTCTGCAGCTCACCCTGCCTCACCACAGCTATTTTTCCTCCCTACTTCCAGTGCTGTTCCATGGGAACTCTACACTGGTGAGATGGAGCATCAGTCCAGCACTACCTCCCAACCCCACAGAGGAGGCCCCTCCAATGTATCTTCCTTATAAATTGAAGTTAAACATCCTTACATATATTTTGTCCTGGTTTCTCCTACTGCTGCCTGTCTAGTTTCTGTCCTCATGGCACAGCAGCCACAGAGTCTTGTCCCTAAACACACACCAAACAAGCAAATTGCAACTTTCTAGTTGAAAATAACGTAAACTCGTCACTTCTCAAAGGCTTCCAGCAAAAAACCTGCAATTTTTCACTGTCAGAAAAATCAGAAACATTGTCAAAAAATGGTGACGACGTTCCCATAATGCCAGACCCTCATCTTCCCACCTGCTGACTGAGATCCTGGTTAATGAGGGAGTGCCCCCGGGATCAGTCTCACCCAGGACTGCACAGCCCCAGTCCCCGACTCTCCTCAGCTCTGTGACAGCTCCTGGGAAGCCCTGGTGTGGGCAGGGATCCCACAGTGACGAGTGCTGGAGGAGCTTGGGCAGAAAATAACTCTCCTGAAGGCTTCTGGAAGATGTGGGACCTGCTCCCACATTTACTGCCATGTGAGGAGCGTGGGGAGAGCCTGAGGATCCCTCAGCTGCTCCTGCTGCTCCAGCCCCTCCCCGGCTCCAGTCCCTGCTCTGCACATGCTCCAGCCCCTCAATGTCCTTCCTGAATTGAGGGACACAG